CTGTTCAGATATTGGCGGTAACATACAGTGTGTGCGATTTAAGACCTCAACACCCCATTATTTTGGAACGCGTTAACCGATTTTAATATATATTTTTTTGGGTCATAGTACTCGATTTGACCATGTAGAAAATGTTTAATTTTTTCTAGGCCTGGCAAGATCTTCTAAATGGATCGAAACTTGTATAAAGGTATTTAAGGCACTTCTGAATCGAATGCGGTATCTATTTTTTTAAAGAAAAACTCTCTAAATTTTGACCCATTTAGCAGATCTTGAAAAATTCAACATTTTTCCACATGGTCAAATAGAGCTGATCGAGTACTATCTCAAAAAAAAAATTAAATCGGTTAACCCGTTCCAAAATACGAGGTGTGTTCAGAAAATATCGGGAATTTTCGTTTTTTGAAAGAAATATTTATTTATTCGTCTACATTAATGTTGTCGCCTTCAAAATAGTCCCCATTGGATATTATGCACATGTGCCAGCTCTTCTTCCAATACTCGAAACACTTCTAAAACTCAATCTTTGGGATAGCCTTTAGTTCTTTCAGCGATGCGCTTTTAATGTCATATATGCTTGCAAAACGACAGCCCTTTAAGGTTCTCTTTATTTTTGGGAATAGGAAAAAGTCAGACAGAGGCATGTCTGGCGAATATGGAGGCTGGGGCATCATTACAGTATTGTTTTTGGCCAAAAATGTTGTTCAAAATTTAACAATTTTAGAACAAATTTTGCTGCCACGCGTTTCATACCCTAAACATTCGAAAAAATTTCATGGGATGAGCTAATCGATATACCAACATCATCAGCGACTTCTCTGATGGTTTATAACCATTTCTTCCACTTTTTCCATGTTTTATCGGTTGTTAATGTGCTTGTGCGTTCGGGGCGTTCGTCATCTTCAACGTCTTCACGGCCATCTTGGAAACTCTTATACCACTTGTAAACTCTTGTTTTACTTATAGCAGACTCACTATAGGCCTTTGTTAACATTTCACAGAATTTATTTAATTTGGATACAAATTCTTTGATCCATTTCTTTTAACGACGAGCTCATAAAACACGTCTAACCTTAGCGGCTGCCACAGACAAAGTAAACAATGAAAACAGCTAAAGTTTTTATCATACTTCGGGGGAATGTATACCAACATAATAAAGAAACTTTTATGACAACCGGATCCTCCGAACCCGCGAAATTTAACAATTCCTGTTATTTTCTGAACACACCTCGTAATAAGGTGTTGCGGCCTTAAATCGCAAACACTGTATGTACATAACGTTGAGTTAATCAATGTACATAATATACACCTGCTACGGTTAAGCTGGATTTATAGTTTTAAAGGTAACGGTAGAGGCAGCGGTAGAGGTAGCGGTAAAGGTAGCGGTAGCGGTATCACTTTCTGCAATTTATAGTTCAGAAAGTAGCTAGAGTACTGGCGGCGATTGCGTAAAGTACGCAGATTGTAATTTTGTTAGTAAAATTAGATAGCAAAAGTTTTTCTAGATTATTTTGGAGTGTTTTCTTCGAAAACATGGATTGGAAGGACAATGCTATGTTTCTGGGCCATATGGCGTTGTGCGGAATATTATATAAAAACCCTGCAATACAACATATGTTGTATTGCAGGGTTTCAAGTACGTTATGGGGGTATACTATAGTCAAGTACGTCGCTATAGCTATATAAAACGAAGGAAATAAATCGGGAAGGAGCTATGAAAAGCCATTTCCAGCATAAACACTTAACTTACAAGGCGAGGCTTCCAACTGAAAACTGACGTGTGATTGGCTGAAGTAGCGGTTGAGGTAAGAAAAGATTAAAGATGGTCATCTCTTGCCGCTACGTTGTTGCCTCTACTTCCCTTACCGCTCCCTGTGAACCATAAATTGTTTCATATAATATTCAATGCCGAACTCGGCTGCCGCTACCGCTACCTCAACCGCTGCCTCTACCGCTGCCTCTACCGCTGCCTCTACCGTTACCTTTAGAACTATAAATCCAGCTTTAAAAGTATTTCCCGATGGTTTTCTTTTTATGTTTTCATTTCTAACTTTAACATTTTTTACTCTCTGCATTGTCAAGCGTGTAAAAAGTAATTGCGTGCGGAAAAGTGCAACTTTTGAAATGTGCTTTCAAAAAGCAACAATGGGGTAGTTAAATTTTTTCTGACCTATACTTTTTATGGTTTTATTCAAGGCGTTTTGTAATATTAAACATTTCTGTGAAATCAGAATTTCAATTGAGTTTACCGTTTTCGAGATATTTACAAAAAATATAAATTTTTATGACGTCACAAACCTCGCCATGTGACCAACATTCTAAGATTTCTATTGGTTGAAAATTACCCTGTTGTCAAGTTGTCTTGTTAATGATTTCATTCGGTTATGTCAGAAAATACCCGAAGAGGTTATGTACAAATACTGTCACTGTCAGTTGAGTGAAAGATGGTCACCAAATTCATTAAGTACCTATCTTCCTTATTACGAGGTATCATATTACTGTTTGATATTTTAGAGTCCAAGATATATCTAAAATAATATAAAGAACTAGGCATTATACTAATGAAATGCATTTACGACAAAATATGATTATAATTATAGGTATGTACAGGGTGGTCCACGTAAGGTGACCCATATACTTATCTCAGAAACTACTGGAGTCACAAAAAATTTGTAAGGAACAAATATTCACGAAGTAAAAAATATTTTTAAAATATTATATTTTCATTTATACAGGGTGTTCGGTTTTCCTTGGGACGATACCAACTTTCTTATTTTCAATGGAACACCCTTTATTTTTTTGCATTTTTGGATTCTTCCCACTCTTTTAGGTATACTTTGTAAATATATTAAATAAGAAAATGTTAATAATTTTTGAGTAAAATTAAGATTTATTAAAATTTCTCTAAATGTAGACACTCGCTAAAAGTTAAAAATAACCAACTAAAAGTTATTATTTTTTATATTATGTAGTATCTATATCATTAATAATAAGTAAGCTATAAGTTAATTATTATATTTTTTGAAAAATATCATACAGGGTGTTTTCTATGTCCCGTTAAAAATAGCGATTTTAAAAGTTTAAAATCTTGTTTTTATTCAATGGAACACCCTATATATTTTTGCATAATTGGATAGAATAAGTAATTACCTTTCATTTTATATATATATGTCCTATACCTAAACCTAACAGAAAAAAAAATATTCGCATTTTTCACAATTGGTAGCTTTTTTTCAATTACCTTAGTTAAATTTTCATTATTCAAAGAAAACACCCTGTATAATATTTTCCAAAAAATAAATTAATTTACTTATAGCTTACTTATTATTAAAGAGATGAATGCTACATAATATAAAAAATAATAACTTTTAGTTGGTTATTTTTAACTTTTAGCGAAATTCGCAATGTCTACATTTAGAGAAATTTTAATAAATCCTCATTTTACTCAAAAAGTATTAACATTTTCTTAATTAATATATTTACAAAGTATACCTAAAAGAGTGTGTAGAATCCAAAAATGCAAAAAAATATAGGGTGTTCCATTGAAAATAAGAAAGTTGGTATCGTCCCAAGGAAAACCGAACACCCTGTATAAATGAAAATATAATATTTTGAAAATATTTTTTACTTCGTGAATATTTGTTTCTTACAAATTTTTTGTGACTCCAGTAGTTTCTGAGATAAGTATATGGGTCACCTTACGTGGACCACCCTGTACTTACTTTATTTGTTTAAAAGCTCCAATGTTCAATGTAACAACCATTCCACAAGATTCCTTTGCTTTGGAGTCCGTTATTAATAAAGGCCGTTGCTAGTCGTCCGTATAATCGGACGAATAAAATATATTAATCGTCCGATTATCGGACTCAAACTCAACAACACAACCCAACCGACCCCGCCCCATTGAACAAAAAACCCAACTAAAATGGGCAAATTTATGTTACGATAAAAATAAAACACTTTTTAACAAAGCAACAACAAATTTATGAAATAAAAAAAGTTCGACAACTTCTAGTAGATTTTATGTTACGATAAAACTAAAACAAACCAACCAACCCAACCCAACCGAACACTGTTTAACAAAGAAACAACAAATTTATGAAATAAAAAAATAAAAAAAATTCGACAGCTTCTTAGTATCGAACCCGGGACCTCTCGCATGCCAAGCGAACGCCCTACCATATAAGCTATCTAGCTTGTTGTCAAATATTAAACGGTCCGTAAACAAAAGCGGATTATAATTATGACGTAACTAACTAACGACTAACTAAATTCTCGGAGGACTAGCTTCATTTTATTCGTCCGATGATCGGACAATTAGACAAGTCGATTAATAAATCACTTATCTAATATAAATTACAAATAACATAACAATAACATTGATTTTCTATAATCTAAATTAAAAAAAAACATAACCCGAAAAAAAGAAACGTCAAAAAATCAATTCTTCTTCTTCTTATCAACTAAAATTATAGATCAAGTGGTTTTAAAACTAAAATATTATAACCTTGCGCCATCTATCGTAAGAATCTTAAACACACTGGCAACCATAGAAAAAGCTGGCAACGTTGTCAATAGCCTAGTGACGTACATAGGAGATTTTTTTTTGTAAATATCTCGAAAACGGTAAACTCAATTGAAATTTCGATTTCACAGAAATGTTTTAAATTACAAAACGCCTTGAATAAAACCATAAAAAGTATAGGTCAGAAAAAATTTAACTACCCCATTCGCACGTTTGTAGAAAAAAAATGTAAATATAGTGTTTCTTCATTAAATATGTAAAAGTCATTTTTAAACTGTATTTATTATATTATAATTATGTATTATTTTTAGTTTTATTATTGTCTTAATGGCAAACCACCCGTTTTATCATTATTGTTTATGAAATGAAATAAGTCTCCAATTTTGCAAATTCGAAAAAAATGGTAAAGGAAATTTTGTCTTAGATTTAGGGGGACCCATATATTAGTTTAAAGGTATAAAATAAATAAAAAGAGTTGTCAGCGTTCATATTTAATAAAATTACATTAAAATACATCTAAAATAAACATAAAATATAGGAGTAGAAAACATTATATAAAAATTAGAAAATAACATTAAAATTACAATTAAAATTTGCTTTATTTAAATACACGGACTAGCTGCATAATTTAAAGTCATCGGAGATAAGAAAGAACTAGGATACATTCTTTGGTTCAAAACCTCATTATACAGGCCATAATAGTGCATACCCTGGTGCGCATCAAAATCTGGAGGGAAAAACATTTGAGGCATAAAATTGACGGGTGTTATTGGAGTCATGGGCGACATAAAATAATTTGGAGTATGGACATCTGATGATTTTCTAAAGTTAGCCGGAGGCCCATGCATATTATGGGTTTCGTAGGGTGGCAGGGGACTGACCATAATCATTGGTATATTTGCTTGATGGTATTGTTGCTGCACTTGGTGTTGTGGAGGCTCCAAGTATACATTGTTTTTAGCAGTTTTTTTTTGTTTGTTGTATTTCTTTTGTCTTTTAAGGTCAATTAAGTATTTGGCTGTGGCTCCAGCGGTATTTTGAATGTGCTCGTTTGCTCCACATTTTATCAAAAGATCAAACATTTCAGTGTTTAGAGTGGCAGCAGAAAACATACATGGGGTCAATCCTAAAATGAAACTAGTTAAAAAGTAAAATGTTATTTTTTTATATTGTGTTACCTGTCAGTGGTGCTTGATGATTTATGTTAAAAGATTGCTGAATTAAATAGCTTGAAATTTCAACATTGGAAAATAATACAGCCATTGACAAAGGAGAAAATATTTTTTGTAAACTTAATTTTGATACACCTCCGTTCAATAAATGTTGAAGCATTAGTCGAATTAATTCTAAATTTTCGCTGGCCACACAAATTGTAAAAACATTGATACCTAAAACAAATAAATAATAAAATCCATTTAATAATATAATTTACGCAAGTGCATTATAATAAGAACATTACGATAGGCAAATTGATATGGTATTTTTTTACAAATATTATAATATATTTAAAGCGTCAGTTATAATAAAAAATAATTATACATAATATATTATTATGTATGTTAAATAGATTATAAATAATTAAGTATACTTATATATATTAAAAAATCGACTATTTTTTTGTAGAGTATATCGAAAATATTGTTTGGGGTGACAAAAAAATGGTGAGTCCATAATATTAATATTAAGAGGTCTATCATCGCAATTTTAGATTTTTTTCCTGAGCGAGTTTTTGTCTCAGAACTCCCAAATCATTGAGTTTAACAAAATTGACTTAAGAATATTGAAGAAAATTGAATGCTCTACAAAAAATGTTTGATTGGAATTTCCTGCCAGATGAACCGTTTTCTTACAATCATGCCTTAAAAATTGGTATAGTTTTACAATTTGATCTTTTAACTTTGGAATTTTGTAATTCAGTACCTGAAAAAAACGATAAATATTCTTATGGGAAATCAAATGCTTTACAAAGTCTTTTATCATTTTTGGATAAATTCACTCCATCAAAAGTTATTCAAGGTTAAATTTGAAGTCAAAACGAAATTTTAACCTTGAATAATTTTTGATTGAGTGAATTTAGCCAAAAATGTTGAGAGGCATTTTTTGTAAAGCATTTGATTTCCCATAAGAATATTTATCAGTTTTTTATGGGTACTGATTTTTACATGATTTACAAAATTCCAATTTAAAAGATCAAAATGTAAAACTATACCAATTTTTAAGGCATGATTTTAAGGAAACGGTTCACCTGACGGAAATTTCACTTTAACATTTTTTGTAGAGCATTTAATTTTCTTAAAAAAATATTTTTGAGTCAATTTTGTTAAATGCTTTGGGAGTTCTGAGACAAAAACTTGCTGAGAAAAAAAAAATAAAATTGCTATATATTAATATAATATTAATATTATGGACTCAAACTTTCACAATAATTTTTTTTTGCCACCCCAAACCATATTTTCGATATACTTTTCAAAAAATAAAAAAGTTGATTTTTTTGGCCCAATCTAATATATGCTTTTAATTCTGTGATGTAATATTTTTAAATTGAGGTTAAGTTGACTGTTGGTACTACCAATTGCAGAATAAATCCTTAAATTATAATTCGGCAATTATTCTCAAAATTTTGGCTAATAGAAATGTATATATAGTAGGTTTAAAGAACTCCTCTAATAACACCTCTTATAATAATAACGTTTATTCAGTGAATAATAGTATATGAGAGATAATGCCCATAATCTCGAGTGTAATACTATACTTTATCTACTTTAATAAGTAAATAATTAAATTATTTTCTAAAATAGTTAAATAAAATCTGATCTATCAAATGGTTAACCTCACTTTTTACCAATTTTAAATGTTATTATAGTCGCCTTCTCCTAATTTAAAACCCGATTGGTTCAAATCACAGTGAATATTGAAATCGGCCAATCACTGATGCCTAACAACGTGAATAATGAGTTCATTATTCACGTTCTTAGGCAGGGAATTCATAATGTTAATCATTATTCATGGAAAAAACACAATATTATGCAATATGAGTAGATAAATATACATACAATGGCAATGACATCTCAGATTATAATATACAAATATATTTTTTTTATTTACGTAAAATCGATTTGTATTCGTTTGTCTGTTGAATTTATAAACATTATACTTAAAAGCACTGTATTTTAGAAACAAAGAATTTGATCTTTGTTTCCGAAATACAGTGTTTTTAAGTAAAATACTTATGAAATAAACAAACAATCGAATACAGATCGATTTAACCTAAATAAAAAAATTATAATTGTGACATTGGGCGTCTGATACATTTTATTATAATTTTTTATTGACTAAAAACTAGGTAAAATGTCTCAAGTTCACCTAAATTAAAAAATTATACAAAAAATGCTTTAGTTTTAATTATTATTATTTTAAGTTAATTATAGAAGATTTACTTACCAAATTTATTTTTTTTAGTAGCATCAGCTTTTTTGTCCAACAGTAATTTAACAATTTCCAAATGACCGTTTCTGCATGCCATCATTAAAGGCGTCCATCCTAAATAATTTTCTATGTCGACTTTTAAACACTTTTCAAGTTCCTTTAACACTCTTTCCTTATTTCCCAATACACAGCCGTAGTGAAGTTTCGTATTTTTATCATCGTCAATAATTTCCACTTTATTTTTTGAAGTGGTGTCCGTTAATTCAGTCATAATTTTTAGTCAAGTTTGGTCAAATACTTAAATAAAACTGAATCGAAGCAATGCGTTGCAAGTTTTTATTAATTTTTTTTTTATTTTTTCACATATGCGCAATATTTGTGTACGGATAAATAAATAATTATACAGACACGTTCTTAATATTATTTAATAAACATTTCTTATTTTTAAGGTCACATTTGTGTAATTTTAAAGAGAGACTAAATCTATAGATACAGGGTGGGCCAGCGAAAACGACAACTCAAATTTATTTTTGAGTGAACTCTGGGCCCTTAGCCTTATGAACACAACTTCTAAAATTTGATGATAGAGCATGTAGGCCTTTGTACCCTGAGTAATACAAACTTACTTTTTAATATACATATAAATTGTTAATTTAAATTCACTTTTACATAATACCTTTATACAATAATAGATGTGCTCTTCTTAATTTTAATGTGAAATTGAAAATATTTGTAATTTAATCTTTTACAAAATTATCTTGTTGACCATCAAACTATAATTTAAACAAATAACTACATTTTAGTAACATACGTGTTTTTAATTTAATATTCCTTAGCTCAATAACATTCTCCTGCAAAATGATATTCTTTCCAAACTGCTTTCTTAATTCTTCTTTCAAATCCGTAACTATAATTAGAGAATCCTCCGTTTCTCTAAATGATAGTTGTGCACATGGAGCAGGAGATTCATCTACCCCTTGGCAAATTTTTAAATAGGCTGATTTGAGTTCCGAACTATCGAAAGTATTTGTACTATGGTTAGCTTTTATTTCTTCTTCAGATGAGCTACTGGAAAGTTTATACTTTTCAACGATATCAGTTTCATGTTTTACTACAAGAGACTCTGTTGAATCATCATAATTAAAATCCTAAAATATAGAAAGAGTTTTAGAATTACATTGAACATTAGGCAATGATAATAAATACTACCTATAATTAAAAACTAGCTACCCGTATTAACTATTCAGTTATAAGTTATATGATTTTAAGCAAAAACAGGTCGATTTATATATCGAGGGGGAAGTACCTACAAATCCAGTGTTAAACCAATTTTATGTTGCACCCTCTCACCTCCAGCTACCCTTACTAAACAATTTTAAATGGCACCCTATACCTTTCGACACACCATTTTAAAGTAAATTTAATTTATGAAAAATATTTTTCATAAACTCTTGTCGAACTTTTTGAAACGTTTCAGGAGTTATCTGCCTACATTTTTGAATTATTCTTTGTTTAAGTTCTTGAATGTTCTCAGTTGGTGTTTTTTAGAATTTTGTTTTTAAATGACCCCAAAGAAAAAATCAAGTGGCGTTAAATCTGGAGATCTTGTCGGCCAATTTTAAGCACCTCTTCTACTAACCTATTTTTTGGAAAACCTTTGGTTCAATCATTCTTTGACTCGTTTGTCCATCTAATTTTCTAATGACTCGGTAATAAGTGCACTTATGCACCCATGGGTCTATAACATATTTAAGAAAATCAAGATATATATATATATATATATATATATATATATATATATATACTTGTCCAGTCAAGGTTTCTTGGATAAAAAGCGGTCCAATTATTTTGTTGGCAAGAATTCCAGCCCATACATTGATTTTTTGAGGATACTGAGTATGATCCTCTCGAAAAACCCTTAGTACCTACAATTGTGTTTATTTATAAATCCATTTAGAAAAAAGTAGATTTATCGCTAAAACAAATATTTTTTTAAATAAATTGGGAGCAACCGCAATTCTTTGTGTCATTTCCTCACAACAACTGGATTCCTTTGTCGTAGTCTTCTTCGCTGAGTTGCTGGCAAATTTGAATTTTATAAGGAAAAAACTGATTTATTTTTAGTAGGTACCTTATGAACGGAACCAACAGAAATATTTGTTAAATCAGTTACTTTTGGAATGAATTTGGATCCCACATGGATCATTTAACTGAATTTTATAAAAACGATGGGTCGCAAAGTACACTGATCGTTTTTTGAAGTGGTTCGCCAAAAAAATTATCCCACTTTGATAGGTTGTAACTTTTGAATGGATGGACGTATCTTGTTAATTTTTTTTTGTTAGAAAGGGCATTTTTTTAGCAGTAAGTGTGCACGACTGCATTTATTTGTCCTGATTTAAAATAATTTTACAGGGTGATTTCTAAAGCTATGATTTTAACATTAAATTTATTAATGTGCAGGAGGTAAATGGGTCACCCTGTATAATTTATTTTTAAGTCATCATAGAGCCTTACGTCTTAGCGCTGCGTGCTTTTTTGGGTTTTGGTCATAACTCAATAGCCTTGGAAGATATTAATTTTTCTTTTACTTCATGTCTATGTGCGTAAAAAATCGAGATATCTTTGGAAGTAAACATGTTTTGACATGTGTCAATTTAATTGTTTGTAACAATGCCGCGTCTACAAGGTGCAATTCTTGAAAGAATCATCGGAATGGTTTTAGCTGGTGTCTCTTAAAGGGAAGTAGCGCGACGCTTTAATATTGCATACAGTATGGTTAATCGCGCTTGGAAACGATACGAAAAGAATAACTCTCCGCAATATAGACACGAAGGAGGGCGTCAAAGAGTAACAACTCCAGCAGGAGATCGTCTTCTTAGGAGAACCGCTTTGCAGAACAGAAAAACTAATGCTACCCAACTGAAACGAGCATTGCACCTGGCTACCGGAAACATGATTTCAACATCCACAATAAGAAAAATATTGCATGAAGGTGGACTTCACTCCAGACGGCCAGCTAGGCATCCAAAATGGAATCATGGGCATAAAAGGCGACGTCTGGAATTTGCTTTGAATCATCAAAACAGGGCTGCAAATGACTGGGCCCAATGTCTTTTCACAGATGAATCACGGTTTTCTGAGGATCCCGATACCAACCGCCTGCGTGAGTGGCGGAGAGTGAATGAAAGTTACGAAGAAGATTGTACGGTTGGCGTTACACCTTTCGGTGGTCGTTTAATTACAGTTTGGGGGGGGATATCAATAGACCGTCGTACTGAACTTGTACTTTTCGTCCATGAGACAGTTAATGCTTTACGATACTTGGAACCAATAGTTCTCCCTCTGTCCCATCAAATGGGTGAAAAGTTTGTATATATGGACGATAAGGCAAGACCGCATCGAGCCAACGTGGTAAATGAATTTTTCCAACGAGAAAATATCACCAGAATGGAATGACCGGCGCTTTCGCCGGACCTCAACCCCATTGAAAACGTGTGGGATGCGCTTCAAAGAAGGATGTTAGATCGCCAAATTGAACCACATGGAATTGAAGAGCTGGGAATTGCTCTTCAACAGGAATGGGAAGCCATTCCGGGTGACCTCATCAATAATGTCATCAGGAGTATGCCTCAAAGATGTCAGGAGGTGATAAGGAGTAGAGGGGGCCCTACCCAAAATTGATTATTTTTTATTTACAATTCGTTATTCATTATTATTGTTATTGCTTTAAAAATTAAAATCAAACTTTTTGACTTTCATGTGTACTTTACATGGTTAAAAAATCATATCTTTTAAAATAAATGACGTAAGACCAAAATCCAAAAAAGCACGCAGCGCTAAGACGTAAGGCTCCATGATGACCTTAAAATAAATTATACAGGGTGACCCATTTACCTCCTGCACATTAATAAATTTAATGTTAAAATCAAAGCTTTACAAATCACCCTGTAAAATTATTTTAAATCAGGACAAATGAATGCAGACGTGCACACTTACTGCTAAAGAAATGCCCTTTCTAACAAAAAAAAAATTAACAAGATACGTCCATCCATTCAAAAGTTACAACCTATCAAAGTGGAATAATTTTTTTGGCGAACCACTTCAAAAAATGATCAGTGTATATAGTGCCATTTAAAATATTTTACCAAGTGTAGCTGGAGGTGAGGGGGTGCAACAGAAAATTTGTTTAACACTGTATAACTCAAAAGATATTAATGGTGGCTAATTTAATTAAAAGAACTGTATATTAAAATAATAACCACTAAGTGCAAAACCGGTTTTGTAAAAATTTTATCATTTTTAAACATAAACGTTTCAGAATTCGATGATTGAGCTGGAGCTGAACATTTGTTGTATGAATCGTTTCGGGCTCACAAAAAAATCTTAACCACAACTTTGCGAGATCCTACCCCCTGTGGGGTAGGTAAAAATTAGGTTTTATAAAAAAATGGAAACAAACATGAGGTGGCCAAAGATTTTTGCAAATGTGCGCGTTCTTTTTGCTTCACTCACCATGAAGTGAGCTGAGCGGGGAAATCAGTTTGAATTAAGTCGGAAATAAAGTGGAGGGGATAAAGAAATTATTGATTTCTTAAGTTTTTAAATAACATAGCCTAATCTTATTTAGGTGATTTTTTCCAATAAGACTTAAATTTCCATAAAAATAATTAAATTTTGTAAATTAGCAATAAACTTGATATAAAATAGAATTATAAATAGAATTCGAATAAAATTACTTTTCAGAACGAGAAAAACACTTTTTAAAATATAAATGAACAAAGAAAGTAAAAGTGAAGTTTTTTTTATAATTTTTATTTTATATCATAAAATTAATATTCTTACATATTTTCTGTGTTATATCTTTATTGGTTTAAATTTCGTGGTTTTCTATGTTTAAATTTGCGTTGAATTATGGATAATACAAAAATAATAATAAAAGTTTTATTTCATGAAGACGATGAAGGTGACAAACAAAAACAACAATTTTTTGATAAGAATATTAATTTTATGATATAAAATAAAAATTATAAAAAAAATCTTCACTTTTTATATAATGATATCAGAGATAGGTTATGTTGCCTCTTATTCAGATTGCGCGTTCCAATTGAGTGTGTCGTTCTCCTAGACAAAAACAAGTTGTTTTTGTCTAGGGTCGTTCTTTTTAAAGCTTACTCACATTAATACATCTCATTATGAGATTCTCATATCACATTAACTGAAGTGAGCTGAGATCTCAGGCGAAAAGAACGCACCTTATATCGAAAATCAATAGAACCGTACGAGATTACCTCCAATGTAGAAAGTTTAATAACGAATATTTCGAAAAATTGTTTAATCTTTACGCTCATTTTCGCATTTACAACAAAAATTGCAAAATTGTTAAAAATTATATTTTTGCCAGTAGGGGAGAAGTGCCACGAAAGGGACAAGTATTGAAAGGGACACTTACAATTTAGGCAACGCTCATTTTCCATTAAGAATTCTGGGTGGTGTACGTGATTCCCCCACCACACATAAACATTGTGCACCATAGCGGCATACAGTGTAGCACGTGTCAGAATAAATTTTTGCTTTTGGTGGTTTTAAGGCTAATTTTGTCGTGTGTTTTCTTACGATTATTTTGCCGTAAGTATTAAAATATTCTAGATTTTCAGTAAATTTGTTGTCAACCGTATTTTTAAATTGTTTACGCTCCATAAGGTGTAATTAAATTTGTAAAATATTCAATAGTTTTTTTGTTATGACGTGATAATGAAGAAATCATGCAGGGGTAATGAAAGGGACATATCGTTTGGTGTTGAAAGGGACGTGTCCCTTTCATTACCTACTTCTTTTTCATAAAATAAATTTTAATAATAATAAAAGGTTCTTTTTACAAATGGTTAAAATAGAAGTTTTCAAAGAACATATTAGATAAATTTATAATCTAAACATTTTGGTACAAACTCCAAATAAAGTATTGTTAATAATCCTTTTTTATTCAGAAAAAATGGAATAGAAAAATGCGCCAAAAAACGATTAAGAAGAGATTCTGCAGAGATTGAAAATGCAGTTAGGGAAGTTATAGAACATGGCTTGTCAATAAGATCAGTAGCTAAGTCATTTGGAATTGCCAAATCTTTTTTGGCTCGCCTCGTTAAAAAGGCTAAAACAGGTGATCATCCTTTTTCCTACACACCAGATATTGGAAATAGAAGGGTTTTTTCGAAAAATGAAGAGCTTTTATTGAAAGAGTATCTAATAACAGCTTCCAAAATGGCACACGGTTTAGGTAGAAAAGGCACGTGTCAATTGGCATTTAAATATGCAACAAATTGGAAAAGAAACTGCCACCATCATGGATTGAAAACAATGAGGCTGGAATTGATTGGTACAAGGGCTTTTTAAAAAAGCACACAGACTTATCACTTAGAAAACCTGAAAAGACCAGTCTTGCTAGATGTACTGCCTTTAATAAGCACACAGTAGAATCCTTTTTTACCAATTTAAAAAATGCTTATAAAAGTTTAAGTTTAAACCGGAATCCATATACAATGCGGATGAAACCAGTTTGTTAACTGTTGCTGATTTACCAAACGTAGTTGCTTCAAAAGGCGCAAAACAAGTAGGGCATGCTGTATCTGCTGAGAGAGGCCAATTAGTTACAATGCTGGCGTTTGTTTCTGCAACGGGCAACACCATCCCCCCTGCTTTCGTTTTTCCACGTGTTAATTTCAAATCATTTATGATAGTAGATTGTCCAGTTGAAGCAAAGGCTTAGCAAACAAAACAGGATGGATGACATTTTTTTAGCTTTTGAGCATTTTATAAAATATGCCAAACCTAGCAAAGAAAACCCTGTTCTTTTATTGCTTGATAATCATCAAAGCCGCATAAGTCTAGACGTTGTTGTTCAGGCAAAAGAAAACCACGTAGTAATTTTAACCCTTCCACCGCATTGTAGCCATAAGCTACAGCCATTGGATGTTGCAGTATTTGGCCCATTTAAAGCTTATTATAAAGTGGCTTTAAACAATTGGATGCTTTCCCATTCCGGTAATACAGTTTCCATTTATAACATACCAAGACTGGCGACGGAAGCCTACGAGAAGGCTTTTACCTTAAAAAACATATTATCTGGTTTTAGAAAATCAGGAATTTTTCCTTTTAACTCGCAAATATTTTCTGATGAAGACTTCTTAACCTCCTATGTTTCTGACAGACCACAACCTAATTCTAACGATGCAGAATCTGGTGGTCAATCAACCAACATAATCGAAACTCCAAATCATGCAGACGATCAAAATTCCACTCAACAACTGGAGACATCAAATTTCCTCCAAGTAAACCTACATTATTAACACCAGAGGCTATCCGACCGTTTCCAAAGGCATCTGTAAGAAAACGCGGTTCATCTAAAATTATTACAGACAATCCAGAATTGGAAAATCTAAAACAAGGAGAAAAACAAGAAATGAGTCATTAAAGAAATCGCAAAACCAAAAAACAAAAAGAAAAATTTTAGAAGACACCAGTAGTAGCAGTGAAGATATGATAGAGTTTGATGATAGTGAAGATAGTGAAGACTTTGAAGAAATCGAGAGAGAGAAGATACTAGAAAGCGTCAATATCGAGCCAAAAGTTAATGATTTTATTTTAGTTAAGTTTAAAACGAAAGAAAAAAATACGTTTAAGCATTTTGTTGGCCAAGTATTAAAAGTAATTAAAGTCAACGAGTTCAAAGTTAATTTCCTCAAAAAATCTAACAAGACTGATAACTTTAAAATCTCTGAAAATGAGTCTGCTTTTGACGTTAACTTAAGTGATATTGTAATTAGGGTTGGGACAGTAACTGTTGAAATTTTCAAATGAAAATTTCAACTTTGAAAGTTTCAAACTTGAAATATTTCATTTAGTTGGAAAAGTGAACTTTTAAAAATTTCAAATGAAATTTTCAATCCGAAAATTTCAACATTGCCTGTGAAAGTTTCGCAATTTACTGAAAATTTCGCATAAATTTCACATGCCTGGGACCTTTAATAATAATTTACAACAGATTCCGAATCGACCAATAAGAACGAGTTATCAAGCGTCTGAGCGTTTTTGTTTAGTTCGGCTTGGATTTGAATACACTATAAGTAATTATTGTTACTTATATGCTTAAATTAATTTAAATAATTTAATTCAGTTACCAATTTAATTTGTTAATTAAATCAGACTTTAAATTTTTTTTTAAGTCATGATTAATTTAAACTTTTACTTTTGCTATAATTGCATATTTTCGTAAAATTTCAGTAAAATATTTAAAAATAATAAATATATATAAATATAAAACAATGAAAATGGCACAATCTCATTAGCTTACCAAAAAGTGCTATATCTCTTTTAGTTTTAGTAATTTTAAAAGGAAATCTCAAGAAATTTGTGGTAAACATAGGTATTTACTATTTATATTATTGGTGTAGGGGCCCCACAGAGGGTTAAGAGGTAAGAGAGGCAATTTGCCATGGTCCCCGAGTGGGCTTATTTCAATATTAATATATTACACTTAAAGTGATTGAAATTTATTGAAAGTTTCAATAAATTTCAATAAATTTCATAAATTTCATAAAATTTCAGAAATTTAGGAAATTTTAATAAATTTCATATATGTATGTCATGAAAATTTCAAGTGAAATTTCAAGTACAAGCAAAAAGTGAAATTTTCCCAACCCTAATTGTAATAAAGCTCCCAGAGCCTATTAAAATGGCTGGGACCAAGAGAGTTGAAGGCTTTTTATCATTTCCTATTGACTTTTCATATTACAGTGGTCTTGAATAGTAATAAGAATTGTAAAACTTAATGTTTTTTTTTATTAATAAAGTTATTTTTATATTCTTGTAAATGTCCCCTTCAATACTTCTGTTGACCCTTTCAATACATACTTAGGTATGAAAGAGACAAATTCCATTTTTTTTAAGAAATCATAATTATTAACATTACTTGTTTCAAAAGCTTTTTGCAGTTAAATTTAGTTAAACAAATAAATTGGCCTTAGGCTACGGGTCCCTTTCATGGCACATATGACCGGGCTCAAGTATTACCTATAAGCACTATATAGGGGCGGGGGGTCTTTGCTTTGATTACTTTTGCTGTCAAGGGGGAAGGGGGGTAAATAATTTTAGTAAATCTGCTTACTTAATACTTGAACGGCCTCATTGAACACAATTACGGTTTTCCTTCAACAACTAACTATAACTCTTTTTTGTTAATCTCGATCTATAAGTATATATTTTTTAATTATATCAATGTTATGATTTTACGCTTAAACGATGTAAGTATAATGCACCATTTTTTTATTTTATACATTGTATTGTATTTTGTATAATGAATAAAACAATATATGTATCTCGATCTATAAGTATATATTTTTTAATTATATCAATGTTATGATTTTACGCTTAAACGATGTAAGTATAATGCACCATTTTTTTATTTTATACATTGTATTGTATTTTGTATAATGAATAAAACAATATATGTACATATATTGTTTTATTTTACAATGTATTGATTATGTCCATGGGCGTGCTGGGCCGCCGGGCCATCGGGCGAATGCCCGGTGGCCTGCGCTACCATGGTGGTCTGCTGGACTTGTTATGGTATGCAAATATAAAAAAGATTTTTATTTCAAACAAAAAGTTTTTTCAAGTTATATCACTAAACACTAAAATAAATTAAAAAAAAAAGAAGTTTTAATTGACTCCCGTAAAAAATATAAATCACGTATTTTTTATGCTAACTCTTAACCAAGAAGTCGCAGGTGGAAACCCTAAACCGTGGGGATATTTTGGATGCTTTCGTAATTATTTTTCCGTTTATTTGAAAATCCAAACTGATCCGGGGCCACTTCGATAAAATGCAATTTTAGTAAATTTATAAAAGGTTCGGGAGGGGGGATCAGCTCGGATTTATAGAGAAACAGAAACATAATTACAAAAGCATCCAAAAAAGCCCCCTCTCGCAGTTTTTGTCTTGATTTAATCCTTTAATATTAGTGTTAAGTGACGTAAATTTGGAAGCTTTTATGCTGATTGCTGTGGAGAGAAAGGTGCAAAATGGTTTAGATTGTGACTAAATACGGGACGTTTTATCAGTAGAGGTACCTATTTAACCCCTTCAGACCTGAACTATTTTACGACGATAAAAATAAATAAATGGCTCTTAAATCTATCGAATTAGGACCTAAATAACACATATTTGATGCTAAAATATCTTAATTGTAAAATTTCAGGATAATTTCAGGATGTTCACATGCATGTACATCGAATGTTTTATACGGTTTAGGTGTGGATAATACCAAAATAGTTTTTAGATGTCTTAGTACATACCTTTAGGAACAAACTACACCAGTTTATACTTAAAAAATATCTTTACAAATCATCTAAAGACCCGCTAAGACAAACTGTCGTCAACGAGTTGTTGCTGTCATTATGCGCATCTCCATTATATGAGAGAATTTTCAATCAAAAGGGGCAGTTTAAGTAAGAGAAGTCGCAAAATGTACCTTAGTTTAGCAAAACAAATGTACTTGGGGGTGAAAACTAGGTTCTAAATGAAATTTAATGCTTATTGATAGTAAATAAATTACTAAAAAGCTAATGTACATCTGAATGTACACCAGGTCTGAAGGGGTTAATTGTTATGTATTTTTACAATTTATATGAAATTGGCTTGAGTCTGGACTGCTCTACCATCTAGTCCAGGCCTGCATTGATTCAGCCAGCACGCCCCTGATTATGTCATATGTCAATCATTATGATATATATATATTCATACTTCTATATTAATATATATGTTTTACTTACCACACCTTCTCCACATAAACATAGATCATATTTTTCTTTTCTGATTTTTGGCCATTTTATTTTATCAAAAAAGTTTATTCTTGGCAAATACAAATAAACGTGTACTGTATCAACCACGATCATAATTCGTAGCTTCAATAAGCAATGATTTAAACCAACAAAGCAGGGAACGTAAATTTCATCCAATATACCCGTTTCCTTTGGTATTATTGATATTTGTACATTTATATGTTTGAGTTTTTGAACCACACCAGAACTTGGAGTGACGTTAATGTCGACTTTGTCTGCATCTTTTCCATAAGGTTTTAGAAACGCAAACGTACCTAAAGTATTATTACAATTTTACTAACTAATATTATGTTAGATACCTATAGGTATATATAGTATCCGTTAGGCATTGGCGTAACTAGAATAATGTCCTGGGGTGGGCCTAGCCCCCTACCTCATTGTTATGAGGCAAAGGTTGAAAATTCTTTGAAGATACTATTTTGCTTTGGTGAAAAACTGTAATAGACTTGCAAAATAAAACTGAACTAAATTATTTTATGTTAAGTATTATTGACATCGACATTAACTTGGAACAGTTATATTTATACGAGATCAGGGCCGGGCCTAAGGGGGTGTAGGGGGGGGAGTCACCCCCCCAAAGTCTTGGCAGTTGGTTCCAAATCCAAACACGGTTGGCAAAATCTATAGTATTTGGGTCGGTTGGTTGGGTATACCTACCCTACCAACCAACCCATCACAATAAATAAAATGAAATATAATTTTTAAACTTTACCCACATATTACAAAATTATAATTTTTAATCTATTGTAACCTCCTATAATCGTTACCGTCAAGAAAATTGTATTGGTCAACCTTTTTTAAAAAAATCATATTTTAATCTGCCGATTGGCAAATATTCTGACTGACCGTTACGGTTTAAAAAGTAAGTAATGTCCGTACGGCGAATGTTTAGAGCTCGTCATGACAGCAAAAACCGTTTATAGACATTATATATTATTAACGCCATTGACCTATTCAGCTTATAGGCAAGCCGTTACGGTTATAACAATAAATTTTTTATTTAATATCATCGACCCATGCTTAAACGATTTGTGCAAAAAAATACAGTTAAAAAACTATATCGTGCGGCAGTGTAAATATTTAAAATATATCATTGACTACTCAAACATAATTTTACATTTTAAATTATCATTTTGTATTCGTTTACTCGCATCTACTAGGTATAAACGCATACGGCAGTGTAGTAGCTATTCGCGAATAGCTACCATCGCGATGGTTAGACCCGCACTCATTTAAATATGAAAAACTTCCCTTCTACATGTTGGGTCCACCCTAAATTTTTTTTTATTCAAAGGTAACATAATAAACTTTGATTTTATGCTATTTTTTAAAAAATTAAAAAATACACATTGTTTAAAAAAATGCAAAATATTTTTTTTTTGCAAAAACGGTATAGCCCATTGAAAAGTACGGAAAAAATAATTTAAGGTGGTTAAATTAAAATATTTTATAAAGAGATGAACAGAAGTTATGAATTTTTAAATAAAAAGCGATTTCACCAAAAAGTAATAAATCGATAAATTTCAATAATCCATAACTCTTGAATGAACAATCCTAGAGCAAAAAAATTTTATGATATGATTCTTCGTTATAAGAACAACAAATAAGTAAAGTTTAAACAAAATCGTTGACAAAAATGTTTTCACCTGGTACACTTGGCAAATTTTGCCCCATATACAGAGCGTAAAAGAAGGCCGGTCAGGGTTTACAGGGGTTTAGTAATAAGCTTATATCCATTTTAAATTACATTTGTAAACTGTACATCATAGCCTACTTTATTTTTTATATCTTTAAAAATCATAACCTTAAATATTGGAGTACTCTACATACGTTGTATATATACAATTGTTCAACGTTTGGTTAAAATGGCTGATGTGGAACAACGCCGGCCTAGGGGCCCGGCCAGCTAAGGGGTGGTGGAACTTTCATATGGGCTCAAAATCCTGGCTTGCCTTATTAAAAAGCTTTATCGAAAATATGAACTTAAAAGTCTTGAAACGATATTTATTATTCGAGCTATGAATATAATACGCGGCCAGTAGTGTTGCAAGGGTGGCAAATTTTTCGCTACCGAGGTCGCAAAACATTTTTGAGTGACACACGTGAAATAGTTATTAAAGTCGATTAAAAATTATATATTCTGTACTAGTGCATTATTTTAAAATTTCCGGAAAAATTGAGCCGGCAGAAAAACGTTTTTTTCCAGAAAAATTGAGGAATTTTCAAATTTTTTTCTTAATTTTATTCAAAAGGTAATACGAACAAAATACAAAAGTCAATTTTTCTGAACTGATATCGAGAAAAAAACGGGGCTGATTATAATTATAATATTATGATTATAATAATTATTTTTTTATTTTAATTCAGTAAGAATATTCTACCAGGCCGCAAAAAACATATTTGGTGTTGGATTCACAGGGAGGCCCCAAATGCCTAGGTGCCCTGAGTCTCTAAGAACGGGCCTGATGTCGAGGCAGATAGGTGGCACGTTTGGCGAGTTTTGCCTCATATGCATCTTTGCGTAAATAACACATGTATACCAAAAAAGAAAAAATAATATCCAGAAAATTAAAAGTAAAATTAGCTCAGGGTTTCTCAAACTTATTTAGTTCGCGAAGCTCTTATAGGTTTGATTTATTTTGTCGCGGCCCCAAATTATTAAATTCCAAAAAAACCCTAAAAATACAAAAAAAACGCTCAATATTATTTTGTTTTTATAATTAGAGAAAGAAGTAAAGAGGGAGATGTTTTTAGCGAAGATTTTTAACACCTTTTCTGCTGTTATTTTTTCTGTGACAATTTTATTTTCAATATAAAGTAGGTAAAGCCAAGTTTGAAAACCTACCCTGCGACAAAGTAGATCTTAACCATGTTTTAACAGCCTACTGAACTCACTGGAAGGACCGATTTGTATAAATTAGGGAAAAAATCTTTATTGATTTCCTTTACGACATTTTCTAGTTTAATTTCGATTATTTTCTTTTTCATCATTGATGGCTCCACTTCTAGGGCTATAATTGTGTACATTTTACAAAACAGTCAATCGACTGATTGTGCCAAAGGCAAATTGTCAAATCTGTTTCTAAACTTGCTGATAATGTTGTCCATAAATATTGATCTGCCAATATTCGCTTAGATACTTCATTTATAGACACATATAATATTTACATTATTTCTGGGGTGGGCCGTGGCCACCCAGGCCCCTACCTAGTTACGCCAATGTCGTTAGGTAAGTTTGTTCATACCTTTTAAAATACTTTTATTTATAATCGAAACATTATAAACTGCTTCCACATTGGGGTATAGAAAGTCAAATGGGCATATTATAGGTAAAGAAGGATGTTGGGTCTTTATGTTTATATCCAATTTAATTCTTTCATATGCAATTATACAAAATGATTCCAAGGTAAAATTTTCTTCATGAAATGACTGAAGAACTAATAGTGAGGCAAATCGTATAGATTTCTAAAAATATTAAGGGTTAATTTGTTAAATTTAATATTTATGTTATCTCGCCTTTCCTAACACGGTGTATGTTGTATTTTTTTGTTGTCTGGGTTTTAAGGTTCCAGATGTCGGATGTATGTTACACTTAGAACATATACATAGCGCACTTTCTTTTGAATCATACATTATTTCGTAAATTCTCCATTTAACAACATGATTGGTGTCATTTTGAATCTGTATTTTTTTCTTAAACTCTGCCCCTACCGGCACAACTCCTAAGTTAACTACTTGATTTAAGAATCTGAAAACGAAAAATAAAAGAAGTTTTATTTAATTAAAAATAAAGACCTTATTTTTGGAGTACATGTTGCAGCAATTTCCTCACTAAAAGGAGTAACATTTGGATAGGCGTCATAGTCCACGACATAGGCCAAAGTATGACTTTCGCTATCCACTTCGGACAATACGTCTCCATCAACTGATGGTAGGTGCCACGCACAATCCGTTGAAGAATCTAGTCCAGTGTTATTATCTGTTTCATGAGCATGGGAATCGCTGCCTTGTATACTAAGGCAATGTAATTTGTTAAATGTTTTCGAATTTTTAAAATACTTACAAATTATAGTCTTTGTAAACTAACTTAATTTCTTCTTCTACAAGAACATCTACATGCTAAAAATGTCAAAATTATGTTCAAGTTTACTCTGGTATTTAAATTTTAAGGCTCGCCGAAGGTTTTTTAACGGTTATCTTCATTATAGATCATTGCTTTTCCGTTAAATTTGATTTATAAAAGAATGCTTCTATTTAACCCCCAAAGTTAGCTTTGTTAAAATTGAAAAAAGTGAGGTTTAAGTTACTTGACAGCTGTCAGATTTTTTATAAAATATTAAATAACATTTTCTTTAAATTCCTTGTCGTACTTGAACAAAATATTGTGTGCGACTGTTGGTCGAAAGAGAAGATTCCACTCCACGCTCGAGGAATCTCCTCTTTCTCCCACTAGTCGCACAATTTACTATTATTTTATATTATATCTTTTTAATATGATGGATATTTTAGTCCAAGTGGTATCAATTAAAACCAAGGTTTAATTAAAAGCATTTAAACCACAGACCTGTGATTTAAACAAACAAAATAACTAGATGAGAAGCTTTTGTAGAAAATTAAACTGTTCTTAAAAATTAGGCAACTACACGAAGAAAAACAGTACCTAACCATTAAATGATTTTATTTCGTTAAAAATAGGGTTTTTAAATTGACTTCCTTTATAAATGTGTTTAAATTATTTTTTTCAGTTAGCTTTATGACCAATGATACTTTTATAAAGTATTTGATAAACAAAAATTATACGAATTTGAATTTACAATATTTCGAAAACAAAGGCTAATTATTGCGTATACGCAAAATTATTATTGTTTTTGGAATCAGCGCACCTAAATTAACCTATAAAATTTGTTGGCCACCCTTAGGCAAAATGGCTGAGGACCAGTGTATTCAATCACTTTAGTGTTGATAATAATACAGTTTAAATTTTAGAGCGCTTAAAGATTAAATTTCTTCCCAACTTTAAAAATCAACCTCAACATACCCCAACCACATCACAATCGGGGAACTTTGAGTGTGCTATAATAAATTCTTCATTCTCTTCTAAAGATTGTATAGGGATACTTTGGATATAAAAACTAAAATCAAAACATTTTGAACTTAGTATTAAATGTGAGTATCTACTAAATGTACTACATACCCTAATAATGTTATTAACGAACCATTTAAATATTCCGGAGGATTTATATATAAATTAAAGGTGCTAACACTATGTGGCGGTAAAAAAGGAATATCATTTCCTATAGATATCCAATCTGAACCCAACTGTTTTTCTGTAGAATTTAAAACGCCTGTTCTTGCTGACCAATAATATTTTAAATAAATGGGACTAAAACATATTCAATAAAAGTTTATTAAAATAATATACCTAATAATTTTAAAATGTTTTTAACAAAGATGTGAATTTTTGACATAAAAGAATTCAAACCAAAATTATATGTGAGTCTGAGGAGGCTTGACCATGATCTTTTTTCAAATAATAGAATTTTTATTAACTTTAAAATGTATCACTACCTCTTGAAAAAATGTATTGTTCATTTCTTCATTTTAGTTTTTTAGCTTCTATCAACACTTTGCTAATGGATTTATTTAATTATTTGTCCACCGTTTCCTAAGGAAATGGAGGACGAAGTACCGAAATCTAGTCAAAATATTCGGATATTTCATTGCATTTTGTTTCACGGAATGAGAAACACGTACTTGAGTATGTACGAGTACGTATAGCTGGTTCCATCAGCATTGTTATACACTGGTCTCTTAGAGATATTTTCCCCCTTTCGGTAACTCCACAGCATTATCTGTTTTTAATGGATACAAAGTTTCACCCCTGCTGGTAAATGACACATTTGCGAGATCGTGGACAACAGTGTCGATGGTTAGAACCCATCTCAGTATTTTGTCGCCGGGTCGAGCTATAAGCCCGATTTTTTTGGCTAGTGGATTTTGTGTGAAGGAGGGAAAACATTTTGGTTTTCAGGGGACGGTAAACTGACCCAAAAATTAATTACAATCCGTTATCCCCTAGTCCCGGGATTTAATAACACCCACATTTAATTGGGGTTCATGAATGGGGCTTGGTTGATTAATACTGTATGGGTCGAAGTTTTTACAAGTAATTATTTTGTTATCCTAAAAAGAATTTTAGAACAGATATTCAATTATTTCCCAGTGTGCGCTGCGAAGACCATTAATTAACTCGTCAACAGGTCAAAATATTGCTCTTGATACGAGTGGGTGTTTGCTTTTTTATGCTTGAGTAACCGATTGTTTTAGTTTGTTTGCCTTTCTGTGATTTATTGCTTTTTAGGCGACTGTAAATTTTATGTAATTTTACACATCCCTGCAATGTTTCCTTTTGATCTCAAATACAATTCACAAATGCAATGTTATTCATTGCGGATTTCACTTTGGTACCTACTTTTCTTTTATCTGCAGTCCTTTTGGTGCTTAGATCTTGTGTTTTGGATCCTTTAGAAGTCATGTATGTTTGGCACTATTTTCACATATATTCCCTTATTAAAATGCTTAATATTGTACCCGAGCGATGTTTATTTTGTTTCAATAATGTATCTCATTGGATACGGTTTTTTTCTCACGCGCGACTTGTCATAGTGTAATCTCAGACGCTACTGCGAATGAAAGGAACACGTACATAAACCCAAGAATTTAATCCAAGGGCGATAAGATGTTTTTTTTTTTTAATTTTTCATTACCGGCAAGTTGAGAAAGCTCCACGGATTTTGCTTCCGCGCTGACAGTATTTTCTATTTACGTTGAGTTTACATTTGTTCAGAAACCAAATTGTTATCACTAGGGATGGGATATTTAGGTACTAAAAACTGAAAAATAGGTAACTAAAAAGGTACTAAAAAAAGCATTTTAGGTTAAAAAAACAGCATTTTTGGTAAAAAAAAACATTAAAAGTTTAAGTTTCGTTTATAATTTTGTTTAGCCGCATACCCAAACACACTGAGAGAAAAAGTGTAGTTTATAGTTAACAAATCTTTATTTGGATAGCATTTATTTACAATAAATAAAGTAAATTTATTGTTAATTAACCTGTTCAACTATTAGTAATCTGCGTAATATATTTTATTTAGCAGAAACAAATACTTTGTTTGTTGCCCATATGTTTATTATTAATAATGCAAATTTGGGAATAATAAATACCTATTTGCTTAGGCGATCTTTAAAAGTTATTTATTATAAATTACGAATTTATTTTTAGGTACACTCAAAAAAATATTTAGTAAATTTACACATCTGATCGTTGGTTATTTTGATGCCACGTATTTAAATGTATATGTACAAACATACTGTAAAACTACATATAATGTGTAAAAATGCAAAGGTCATGTAAATCTAAAATTTAGGAAAATAATAGTACAAGTACATTAAAAATTGTAAAAGCACTTAAATTTAAGGATTTATTACATAATAATATGAAAAACTACATATTAATTTAAAAAAATACATAAATTGATGCTATTTTACTTATGTAAGTATGTGTGTACATGTTTTATATGGAACAACACATTTCTTAAGTAAAAAAACAGAAATAAATGTGTGTTTGGATGTGTAAAATTTCGTAAATTTTTTTCAGTGTAGGAATCAATATTAACAATAAATAAATATTTATTTCTTGTTTACTGTACTCAAACTTCTGTCAAAACGCACCAAAACAGCATAGACGTTTCTCGAATAGTGCATGGTGTACCGCGTGCGTATGGTGTACCACTTGCCTTGCCAAGTTTACTGATTCTGTTCTGTGTACTGTTAAGTTTAGTGATTCTGTTCTTTGCACTGTTATTTATCTATGCATCAGTGTTTCGTTTGCAATCTTTTTGTAATAGCATTAATTTAAATTGTACCTATAGTGACAGTGTAAAATACCGGCTCTTTCCTGTGTGCCGGCTAGTGTATCTCTGCGATAAAAATCCAAACATGCATGGAAGATCTGCAAACCATGGACGAGCTATGCAAATTTTTAGGAAGCAATGGATTCAATGACTTGCTAGATACATTTATAGTGAATTAAAGTATAGGGTTTACAAATGAAGTTTTGTCTTCTAAATATTTTAGTATTTATTATAAACAAGCATTTATTTATCACAAATATAACACATTTATTATAAACAAGCATTTATTTATTAACAAAAAAACATATTTATTATAAATTTTTCTTTATTTTTTAATAAAAAGATTTATTTAAACAATTTTAATCAATGCGTTGTTTGTCCTAAATAAATGTTTATTCCGCCATAATCGAATAAAGCATTTATTAGTTATTGATAAATCTAGTTAATTGTTAATAAACTGTTCTCTCAGTGCACAGAACATACCCACAATAAACTATTTCCATGCAATAAACTGTTTTACTGAGTGACACTCACTACACAGAAGTTCTATGACAGAACATAAGCTCACTAGTAGTGAGTCACTACAAAGAAGGTAACAGTAAAGAAAGTTACTGTTACAGTCTGTAACCATAAGAAAAAATTCTATACCGTTGAGTTGCACGCCCTGGATAAAATATTGGCGCAAATTTTAAAAAGAACGAAAAAAATAAAATAAGTAAAAATACGTAAAAATAGGTAACAAATATGTGAAAATAAACTGACAAATTAAAAAATATGTAAAAAAGTATAAAAAGGTAGTTTATAGCAAAAACCTCCAAAAAAGGTAAAAAAGGTGAAAAAAAGTTAAAAAAAATAGGTAACAAAAGTATAAAAAAGGTAGTTAAAAGCAAAAACCTCCAAAAAAGGTAAAAAAGGTGAAAACAAGTTAGGTTCATATAAAAGAAAATCTTTTAAAACACATTTTGGCATTATTGGTTTTCAAATAGTTACATCGGTTAAAAAAAGGTAAAATAACTAAAATCCCAGCCCTAGTTATCACAGTCTTCATGCATAAATTAAAATTTTGCGTAAAAAAAATTGAATTTTAGGTTTTTTGTCTAAATATTTTTTTTTTTTGAGGCCAAACATTTATTTATAGAAATTCCAAATATCATTTTTGGCTTATTCGGCCTCAAAAGTTTTTAGAATACATCTTCTTGATAAAAT